AATTGGGTCGACTCATTGTACCACATATAAACAATAAGGTATAACGCCTCAAAACAACATCGTTCGAGACCTCTTACAAATCTTAAAATGAACCCGAAACATGAAGTTTAATTTATTTATATTATATTCAGTTGCCCCGACACATTTAATTATTTGGGCTCTGTAATGTGATACATGACAAAGAATGAAAGAAATCATAAGAATAGAGGTCGATTAATGTGTGTCAAGGATGACTAAAGCTATAAATACAATATATATCTTAGGACTTACAAAGGAAGGCATAACTTCAACAAATTTAAAACGGGCGAAAAGCGGCAATTGTAACACAATTAAATACTGTAAGAAATTAGTTATAATTTAGTAATTAATTTTTTTAAAATTTATTTTTTATATATTTATTCCTATTTATTAGTTTATTTATTTTATTTTATTTTGTGCTTATTTATTTAGTTTTGATTTTTATTTATTTATTTTTATATTATTTTTATTAAATTCACTAGTTTTCGTGATTCGCTTGACCAATTAAATATTTCAATTAATAAATGTTTTTTTAGGACTTTTTTCTCAACTAAAAACTTTAATTGATTGAATTATTTTTATTAATTAATAAAAGATAAAAATTAAAATGATACCTTAATAATATATTAGTAAATTGACGATAATATTAGTAAAAAAATAATTAATTAATTTGATTAGTTTGAGTGTCTAATATTATTTATGCACATATTTAAAATAGGAGGTAGATCAAAATATTAATAAATACTGTAAGAAATGAATTATAAATTAGTGCTTAATTTTTAAAAAAATTATTTATTTTTTATAAATGGTCTTTTTTAAAATTTATTTTATTGTTTTATTTTTTGCTTGTTTATTTATTTGTAAATTATTTTTATTATTTATTTATTTTTACTAATTAATAACAGATAAAAATTAAAATGATACCTTAATAATAGATTAGTAAATTAACGATAATATTAATAAAAAATTAATTAATTTGATAAAATTAATAATTTGATTAGTTTGAAGGTCTAATATTATTTAAGTACATATTTAAAATAGGAGGTAGATTAAAATATTAATAAATACTGTAAAAAATTAATTATAAATTAGTGATTAATTTTTTAACAATTAATTTATTTTTTATATGTATTATTTTTTATATATGTATTATTTTTTATTTATTTATTTTAATAATTAATAAAAGATAAAAATTCAAATGATACCTTAATAATAGATGAGTAAATTAACGATAATTCACTAGTTTTCATGGTCCGCTTGACCAATTAATATCTTTCAATTATTTAAGCGTTTTTTTTAATTGAGATAAAAAAGTCAGTGTCACGAGCGGGATTCGAACCCACGACCTTCGGCTAGATACGCCGCCACTCTACCACTTGAGCTATCGTAACTTCGATCCACTCGAACACTAACTTCCCATCTCAACCCAACCTTTTGAATTTTCCTTAATTAATTAACGATAATATTATTAGAAAATTAATTGATTAATTTGATTATTTTGTACATCTAATATTATTTATGTACATATTTAAAATAGGAGGTAGTTTTATGCATTTATCTCCATGATCAATTTTACATTTTTTAATTTCAAATTTCTCAAACCAATCTAGTTCCCTCCCTTTGTTGAAACTATGTAACACTATTGTGTTTAAATTTAAATTGTGTTTTGTTTCTTTTAGATGGTCCTTAAATTCCGAAAATTCGTTCGATTTAGGGTAATAAATAGTTCTTGAACTTTCGTTTTTATTTATCTACCTCTTTGTCCTATGTATTTAATGTGTGGTGGTTAGTGACCGTTAGTCAATGGTTATTCGGAGTTGGTGAGATGCGGTCTGGTGTGACGTAGGTTTTAGAAAAACATTTCTTTATCGTGCCAACGTTTCGATCTTTATTGAGATCATCTTCAGAGTTCAAAGTATTTGTTTTCCGCGTAGATGTGTCATTCTTGCCTGTCGTGTTGAGAGTGCCCCACTATTGCACTCGTACAAACATATAATCGATATATTAGATTCAATAAATAAACTTTTTCAGTTTTTGATTTTCCCAGTATTATTCTTAAGATTCTTTTTTACACCATAAGACTTCTTACACATGACTAGAATAAGAGCAGAATATAGGACAGCATGCCTAGGTAAAAAGCCTGCTATTAATACAAAATGATCATCAGCAAATGGATACAGTACGGCATTCTCATTATTTATCCCTTTCAAATAAAGAAAGAAAAAGATAGGATCCAACACTGAACCCTGTGAAACACCGCACTTTCCTCTCTCATTTTAGATTCTTACTACCTACTAACCTAAGCGACCCTCAATTTATTTATATAAGGGTGATGTCTTTTTCATACTGTAAAATGCAAGTTAGCATTTATGATGCAATTGTTTAAACGACTTCCTCCATGTTATAGCCAAACTTCCACTTCCAGTGGATCAGTAATGGCTAAATCGACGTCCAAAACCATTATGAAAAAATATAGGGACAAGTTACAAAATCGGAAGGGCCAAATGGTCGAACCTTCGGTAATGTCGTCCTTGTTGACTGAGCCAAACTTTCAAAATTAACATTCACTGGATAAAGAAGGATTCCGATAGATTTTTTGGCATGGATTTTGAGCAAATATAAAATTCTTTACTGTCAGAATTATCGGACAAAATTGGATTGGTTGGATTTTTCAAGTTTCTACGACGGATTTAAACAATTAAAAAAGTTTAATATATAAGTGTAATAATAAGTAAGTAAAGTAAAAGTAATATAAGTATAATAAAGTACTATATTTTTTTACTATAAAGTCGTGTTTTCTTGAAAATATAAAACTATAAATAAACACCAATTTTATTCACATTTATTTGCCTTCAAGGATTTTTTTTTGCGTTCCTGGCCTAAAATTACTTATGATCAAGGAGAATCCTTTTGTATATTTTGTAGATTCCGACAGATTTTTTGCATGGGTTTTGAGCAAATATAAAATTCTTTACCATCAGAACTATCGGAGAAAATTGGACTGGTTGAATTTTTCAAGTTTCTAAGACGGATTTAAACAGTTAAAATAAATATAATATATAATAATAAGTAAGTAAAGTAAAAGTAATATAAATATAATAAAGTACTATATTTTTTTGACTAAAAAGTCGTGTCTTCTTGAAAATATAAAACTATAAATAAACCAATTTTATTCACATTTATTTGCCCACAAGTATTTTTTTTTTGCGTACCTGGCCGAAAATTACTTATGATCAAGGAGAATCCTTTTGTATATTTTGTAGATTCCGATAGATTTTTTGCGTGGTTTTTGAGCAAATATAAAATTCTTTACTATCAGAACTATCGGAAAAATTGGACTGGTTGGATTTTTCAAGTTTCTAAGACGGATTTAAACAATTAAAATAAGTATAATAATAAGTAAGTAAAGTAAAAGTAATATAAGTATAATAAAATACTTTTTTTTTTTTACTAAAAAGTCGTATCTTCTTGAAAATATAAAAGTATAAATAAACACCAATTTTACTCAGATTTATTTGGCTTCTAGGATTTTTGTTTTTTTGTTTTGTTGGCCTAAAATTACTTATGATCAAGGCGAATCATTTTTTATACTTTTTAAAATTGTGAACTAATTTTACTTAAATTTTTTACATACAATAAATTTTATTTTTACGAAACACCGCAGATCCCTCAACATTCAAGCATTAATCCAATCAATGCCAACAAAAGAGGAGGCCTAATTGCTAGATTATCCTTTACATATATGATGATTATATTTCAGATGTTCAAAGTTATCGATAAAAACTTAATTTAAAAAAAAATTGGTCGTAATTATAATTAAACGAAATTTAAAGAGACATGAGTCACAATTAAAACGCACCGACTTGTAAAAAGCCAAAAAATGCAAAACTATTTTTTACATATTAAAATATGCAAGCTTTTTGAAACAGATCCGAGCTTTAGAAGTGCGTCAAAGAAACGTTTGAAAGTTGCGAATCAAGTGTTCTAGTGTAGCTCGCCTTGATGAACTTGCAACATCCCTTATGCTCTTTGAAGACTCATATTTTATTTAAATTCTATGTGGAAAAACTTACTTCCCACGTAAAACATCGTCTGACAACTCTCTAATCCAAAAGGAATCGTTTTGTTTTTGGTTTAAAATATGCAGAAATGGGAAAAATTCGAACTCGATCAAGAAAATCGCTTCTCCTGAAAAATTATATTTTTTACTTGTGGCTATTATTTTTTCAAAACTCTTCATCATATTGAAACAATTATTTTTCATTCCATAGAGCAATTATGGGTAAACAATCGCAGCGAGCGATTTTCTGAAAAAAAAAAACAAAAAAAAAAGCTGAATTTCAACTACGAGGTTATATTTTTTTACTACCAAATTAAGTAAAAATGATCAAAGGAGTTTCATTTAGCTAAATAGTGAGCACTGAAGAGGGATCAGGCCCGAAATGTATTAGAAATTAAAAAATATTTTGCATAAAAATAAATGGTGCGTTTAGTTCAAAGAAATAACAACTTTCTACATTGAAAACTTTTATGTTATTTTCTCCTGAGACGTTTCAAAATTTACCGATAAAGTAAAATTAGTCAGATATTTCTTGATTTTTAAGCATTTGTCGTTGTGATTAGAAATGATACATCAGAATGGGGTCAGTGTCAGTTACAAGAAGTTATGTTTTCTAAGACGTTGAAATCTCTAAAATCAGAGATTTTTAACATTGATGTTTTTCCGAATATTTTGAGTAAATTTTATTTAAATACTTCAAAATTAATTTTGAATGTCCAATTTGATTTAATACACAGGTTGGACGTATGTTTTTTTAAGGCATTATCCAAAGTGTCTTGATTTGTTTGTATTAATAGCACATAATTTTCTTCTTTTCGGCTAAGAAGTTTTATTTTTAATTTTTCAATATTATGTCAGAAAATAAATAACAATAATACCCTCAGAAAAGAGAAAAAATTAGCGCATAAAAAAAAATTCCTACCTTAATTTTGTTTACATCGGAAATGTCAAGCAGCTGTTCGCCCTCTTTCTCCAATTTGAAATAAACATAATCTCTGGGTTCGTCGTCATCAGCAGGTGTTTCGGTCAGGCGTACAGAGAACAAGTCGTTGATCTTTTCTATGTTGCCCTTAACGGTCGTTGCATTATCCTTTTCCACTCGAATCCTGTGATGTTTTTTATCTTCCATGTCTTTTGGAGGGTCACCTCCATTTCCACAACTACATGTTTATGCTAACCAAGGAACTGCTGACCCCCAGGCAACTCCTACCGTCGACGCCATATTGTATGGTGTGTGGTGACAGAATTACATTTCCCTTCGCTTTATTTAAAATGGAAATTGTATTAATTTCACGTTGTTAACATTAATTAAAAAGAAGCTTTTTTTTCAATACAAAAACTCAAAATCTGGCTTTTATTCTGATGTTGAATTTATTTTCGACTTTTCTACTTCCCTTGTTCATAACCATGATGCCATCTTTTGGCAGCTCTGAGTACTGCCGTTATGATCCACCATTCGTTTTTTTAAAAATAAAATCGACGAGATAAAACCTCTAATTGTACTAATTAAGTAATAAAGTTAAAAATTAACTCAATAAAATTATATTCTGATATGCTTGAATCAATATTTGGGCTTAGTTTTTTTAAAAACAACTTTTTCAAATGATTAAAATTTTACAAAATGGCAGAACAAATCCTTATCTTTTTGTCTTCCTCACAACATAAAAACAAAACACATAAATAATATTTATCCAATTTAAACAAAAAATAAATTGGATTTCCAACATTTACCAATTTTTTAATAATAAGTTAATGTATTTTAATAAATATTATATTAAGAATAAAACAGGAATTGTGTTCTTTTCTTCCAATATGTTTCAGTAAAGGGCAAAAGAGGGCATTACATTTCTTAAGATGATAATTTTTAATCCTCGGGGCAAACTAGATAAATCAAAAGTGCAATTTTTCAGGATTGTAATTTTAAAGTTTATCCTTGAGGCGTCGCTGACAGTAATGGTTAAGGAATTCACATGGCACTCATCACTGTGAGGTAAAGGGTCCTGGGTTCGAATCCAGTGGCCTTGCATTCAAACACAACAGACTGAATATGGGGTTGATATGACCTCTACTGTTGTGAACCTCATAAAAAAGATTAATTTAACCTTTTGTGATGATGATGATGATATTTGGAAGTTGAGGTATTCACCCAGTCTTGGCTTATTGTACTTTTTCAAGTTCCTTGGAAGGCCATTGTTGCAATTATTTTTCCCATATCTTCATCGTACCCTAGATTGTCTTCATTGAGTGATTGCTTCATATTTGAAGATGATATAGGTGGCAGTTATTCTTTTTCATTGCATAACCTACAAATTAGATCTAACTGAATATATTTAAGCTAATTTTCAAACCAATCCCATTTTGGTGAATTTTATGTAAAAGAAGGTCAATATTTACATTCAAAAGATTTTGAAACATTTAGATAAATGATATCAAGTTGACGTCTCGATTGAAATGTAGATATGATTGTTGATTGTTTAGGTATAAAACCATATTTTTCCTGTTATAATAGCACGGATAACTGATTGTAAATCATCAAATAATTTGGGGATAACAGAATACTAATATTTCTCCAAAAGTGCACCCCTATTTTTCATAAGGTTTTCTATTACTGGTCCTATCTCGATCAGTGATATTCGAGTCTGTACATTTAGAATTTTTCTACATTGACTGTTGAGTAACATTCTGTCACTATTGAAAAGTAAATCTTCTAGCAATTTAACGAAACGTGGGAGTGAAAGTAATACACTAATATTTTGATAATGCAATCTGGGATGTATTAAAAAGACAAATAAAAAAGACAGGAATTTTACAAATATTGGTATTATTAATGATGATGTATAAGGACACTAGGAAGTGCGTTTTTTGTTTCCCTTTGTTCCTAGCAGTCTTTTGGCACATTGTACTTTTCCTAGTTCCTCAGTTGAGTGCTTGAGTGCAATCGACTCGATATTTCTCTTAAAAGTACAATGCTATTGACTAATGTTACTACAATTCCTTTCCCTGGTTTTTCTTTGTATCCCAGGTTATGTATCGATTTAGCAGATGCTTCACATTCGAAGATCATATGGGTGGCTGTTTCTTCCTCCTCATTGCATAACCTACAAATGGGGGTCATCATTAAATATACCAATGCCAGTGACCATCCTATCAATCCACTCAATTTAGCTCTCTCTAAATGTAGCAGTAAGTTTGCCAGTTTTGGTGAGGGTTATTGCATAAGCATACTGTCTCCATCACCTCTAGATGTTATCCACTTCTCCTTTTGTCTACTTTGCATCCATTCTGGGATGGAGGGTTCTATGTTTCTTTTTGTTATCTCAATAATAGGTTCAGGGCTAGATATCATCTTGAAGATCATCCTCTGGCCAATGTGTCCGCCTTTTCATTACCCAAAATTCCTTTGTGTCTTAACGCCCAAGATATCAGGTTGTTGGTTCCCTACGTTTCAAATATTTTGGATAAATTCACTATTTTCTATGAAGATTTTCTGAGGCACAAGCAAAAATTCCATAAAGAGTTTGATTGCTCATGTTTTGGTCTTGTAGAAAAAACGCCTGATCCGGTTGTCAGCACCAAATAACGAAGGTGGCTAGAGGTACACTAGTACAAGGCAAAAAAACACTTTTGAATTAACAATTTGTTCAAGCTGTGAGGAGCGGACAAAGAAAGATGTATTTTAGAGAAACATATTTTTCATTTGTTTTGCTGACATTTTTGAATTTTCTTTTTATCATGCTCATATTTTATGAAATTCATTGCACTTGCCATTGGAAAGAGGTTTTGTTAAAATTTCTTTGATCGTATCTGAATATTTCCTCATCCACCGATACTTATTTAGACTGTAACATGAACTTGTACTTTTAATGGTATGCTTTTGATTATTTATCAGTGGGAGTAACTTTATATTCTTACTTACCTTCAATTTTCTAGGTTGGGTAACATGGGTAAATTTATTAAAAAAGTCAAGTAGTAATTAAAACTCCTACATTTTACAGATTACAAATCAATACAAAACAAGTTTGTTGCGCTTAGAAAATACATAGATCATTACACAAAATAGTAGAGAATTATCAAAATGTTGATGCAACGTTACAAGCCAAAAAGACATTGCATTTAAAAGGAAACCATTTCCTTCTTGACTTAATAATTTATAAGCAGTCTGTCAGGCCTAAAAACTAACTGGACTATGCACTTATCCCATTTGGCCAAATCGACTTTCCAGTTGTGCCCCCAGGGAGAAAATTGCTGACCTTATTACCCTGACTTGTAATAATTTTATATCTATTCACAGCTTTGAAGGAGTAAGGCATAAAAAACTTACAAAGAACATACTTTGCTTGGATACTTATTCGAGTTTCTAAACGAGTCAGACAAAATTTTCCGTCCACAATGGAACACAATCTATTTTCATTTTAGAAAAAGAAAAAAAAATCTTTAAAATTAAATGTGAACTTTTGACACCGTTGACTCAGAATTTGACCGTGAACCATTCAAAAGATAGAAACAAATTAATTTAAATGTCTTATCTATGGGGAATCGATAATTGATCGAGATACGCTAAATCGGTCATAAATTTTTCCATTAAACACGGAAACTGGAAGAAGTATTTATGTAACCGGTAGGAAAAAAAAAATTCTACTGAGAATTTAATTTTCAATTCATTATGTTTGTATAAGTACATGTTTACCATATTAATCATGTATGCACAATGAACATCTGTGCATAAATTATATATATTTTAAAAAAATACAAGAATCTCTGAAATATGTTTTATCTTAATTTTTTAACCCAGGTTAATGAGATAAGGCGTTTTAGTGTTTTTGATTAATTATATTATTAACAATCCATGAAAATGCACATGCAACACACATGAGATTCATTTTTTGCTTTCTTGTGTCATATTCATTATATTTTGTCATGATAAATGAATTCACTTAAAGAATATTAATTATCTTAAAATGTAGAATGTATATTTTAAACATACAGCTATCTAAAACCTGTCACTCGTTTTTAATATTATGCCATCAAATATCCCCTACCACACTGAAAATTGTATATATACTACTGAATAACCTAGACTACTTTGATGTGCTGTGAGTATTCTGTAGTCCATCACAAAAATATTATAATGTTTCAGCTAATAAACACATTCTCTCCAATTAACCTATGTGTAAAGGGGCTCACTATATGCGACCATATATGTTTATCTACTTCAGGTATCAAATGCATTTCATATTATAACCACTACTGTCCCTTCGTTGTTTAAAATCTGCAGGTAGGTCACACATAATTCTTTTCAGCACTAATTCCTCATACTCTGTTAACATGTGCTTTAGATACTTGTGCTCAGGTTATGTCTCCATTTTGTGGGGTCTTCACATTTATATCATATGGGGTCATCAATAAATATACCAATGCCCGTGACCATCCTCAAGCCCTTTCTAACTGTAGCAGTTAGTTTGCCAGTTTTGGTGAGGTTTGCTTTAGCGTAAGCATACTGTGTCTATTGCCTCTAGAGGTTATCCATTTCTCCTTTTTCTATTTTGCATTCATTCTGAGATGGAGGCTTTTATGTTTCTTTTTATTATCCCAAGAATAGGTTCAGAGCTTATATATCGCCTTGAAGATCCTTCTCTGGAAATGTGTCTGCCTTTTTGTTACCCAAAATTCTTTTGTGTCCTGGCGCCCAAGATATCGTTTGTGTTTCCCTATGTTTTGAAGATTTGGAATGAATTCACTATTTTTTATGAAGATTTTCTAAGGCACAAGCATTGGCAGCATGTATTTCAGCTTGAAATACCAAGGTGTACTTCCGTAATGAGTTTGATTGCTCATCTTTTGGGCTTGTAGAGAAAACGCCTGATCTGTTTCCTTCCTCGTTATGGAGCCATCTTGACACCAATCCATTCTATCTGATTTTTTCCTTAATTCATCTTCTCCTTTGTTGAGGCTATGTAGGGTGTTGTCAAAATGTTTCTAAGAATGAGTGATTTCATTTGTTATTGCTGTGTTCCCAGAATGTTTCGTAACCATCGAACTTATTTATTTTCTGCCTGTACGAGATTCTGCTAGCTTCTTGTATTGGTAGGTAGGCTTAATAGTATTTCTAAGGCAGCTAATGGAGCTTTACTTATTGCTCCTTTAAACCTTTGGTAAAATGTTCAATTTTTGAATTGTAAGGTTTTTATCCAGTGACATATAAAGCACTAGGTCTTTTCTATGTGTCCCGCTTCTGGGCCCTTTGATAGAGCTTTGCAGGTAATGACAATGACAGGTAATGACATATAGAGCAGTCCGTTTTAAGAAAAGAGGGTAGGACGATCCAATTTTAAGCAGAGAGCCCCGGTGTCCTACCTACCTGGTCTCGGCAGAGGTCCCTACAGCAGTAGAAATTACAGTTATGCACAAATCCATACGATAGCATGGTGAAAAGTTAATTTTTTTTAAACCAAAGTTATTGAACCAATGTTTTTTCTTACCAGCCTGCCGTATTGGTTATGGTTTATACATTAGTTATATGTATGTACCCTTGGTTCAGTTCTCTACACTGTTTATACTCCTGACACACTACACCCATATCACAACCTTCAACCGCAATCTGACCCTACCTTGCAGCAAAAGCAATTACCGACAACAAAAGAAAACAAAAGAGCCGGCAGATGACATTCACACTTAAAAGTGCCCCACCATTGCAGATATACAATAATTAAACCAAATCCTCTACCTTGGGTAGCAGTCTTAGATATTGAAAAAATAATATTTTCTACAAGTTTACCACATCGGTTATTGTTTATACCTTAGTTATATTGTTATTTTTGTCATTTTGTAAGATGTAAGATGGAATATTCGGCATGAATAATGTACCCTTGAGAGATACCATCTCCCCCTAGTACAATTCTATCCCGACCTAGTTCTTCAAGAAATTTGATTAGTAGACATAGTTTCAGTGGTTGTCTCTCTGTTTACAATCATGTCTATGGTTATACTGTACGTCCCAAAACACTTCCTTCTGCAGGCAAAAATACCACCACAGTTTGAGTTACTGCTCCACTGCTTCCTTGCAGGATCTACACATGTCGGATTATACTAACTTCTTTAAATGTCCATTTAGTCTGAGGAGTCCTGTTAAGAATCCTGTTATGATTCAAATTTTTTTCCTGTTCCTTTTAATGCATACTGTTGCTACTTTCCTGCTAGAAAGTTCTTGGATTGTTCGTCTAATGAATGAATTACTCGGTTTTTCATTTTTATTTTGTCTAAGATACTCATTGATAGTATGAATCCCTACGTCACAACATAGCTCAGGACCTATTAGCTGTATGCCAACCCCATTTTTTGTAAGGGCGTCCACTCTGACGTCTTCCTTTTTTGTCATTTTACATTGTACAAATTAATTTTTATGAGAATATTTTTAAAAAGTTGTTGTCTCATATCTCTTCGACTGTTTTCAAGTAGCTTAAGCTACATTGCCATGAGATATTTTTCACTCAACCTAAATTGATATTTTTTTAAATTAAAACCCCACAAAATTTATAATTTTTTTGCGTTTCAATTGTTAGGTGGAAACGGATGAAGGATTCATCATGAAGAAAAAACAAAACAGTTAAAATAAAAAAAACGAAATTTTTATTTTTAAATACAGGAATAATAATGATTATTACAACAAACAAAATTTCGAAGAGTTCTTTTGACCTGTTTTTCTTCTTTTTCAAGAAAAAAAATCATTAACAAATCAAAATTTTATAAGAATAATTTAAAAAATAATTACATCAGACCAGCTGCAGATTTATTAAAAGAATAATCTACTTTAAAGAGTTACAGATATATTTTTAATTGCATATGTAGGACAAATTATCGTGATTTTTTTTGTTGTCGTTTTGTCAATGTTCTGTATTTACAAAATTCCACTAACTAAAATCTAAACTAAATGCAGTATAAAAATCATCGGCTTTAATGTTGGTAACAAACTAAAGTAGAAAGATAAGTCTTAGACACGACTAGACACAGAGTCCAGTATTTACTGCCTCTCGAATCGTATGTACATAGCCATCTCTGTGTACCATATCCATTTTTCACATAAGATACTAAAGAGGCTTAAAAATAAATATAACAATTTGGATGTCCTATCGGTCTGTTCTAATACTTATAAATAAATACGACTCAATGGTTGAGACATAGTCTTCACTGCATACACAGATGAGAGTGTTTCCTTTAACGTATTAAATTAAATTGTACAATTTGGGCTAAAAGTCTTTGTTTTAAGTAACTAGCATAAATCTATGTGGAGAAAAAGCACAGGGGAAAAAATACAGAGTCAATTATACACAATATTGAGGTACAAATAATTGCATGTTTTTCTTCCCAGACCCAAAGAGTATTTGGATTTTATGAATTGAATGTTTTTAAGTTTTTTTTTAAATTAAAAGGAAATAATGCGGTTTTTTTTGTAATCAACCGATCAAAAGTAAAGCATTCGAAAGACATGGCAGACTTTTACTGAAGACGTTGAAAGTTTATAGGGAAGGCGATCGAATCGTTGCCATGCAGATGTTAGCTGTATTTATTTACAAGGAAGATGATCAAGAACTTGCAGTCAGCTTCTCTAGTCTGTTGCATAACCGTGTCTCGTCGTCCTGGGGCTTGAGGAGGGTGCAGCAACCCTCCCAACGGGCTTTACCGCAGGCGTGGGACATGGTGAGGTCCCTCTTCCAAACTGCAGAACAGTGTCCGTCGCAGAGAGGACAAGGCCTTTCCAAGCTGTAGCCGCCGCATTCGGAGCAATCCAGGGAAACGTGATCTTCCGTCCACGAGACTCCACATCTGCAGGGGGGGAGGAAAATATTTTTTATTCCTGTCTTTCACGTTACTTTCTATTGAAACTTACGTAAAGCAGGAATTCAGCTGGAGTCTCAATTCCTCGATGGAAAGGACGTGTTCGGACGGACAGTAAGAGGTCACATCGTCCAAGGAACTCACTGAAGTGTAGGACTGACTCCTGTTGGTCAACCCGCTCACAGGATGCACACTCGCCACTGACATTATTCCTATTAAAAAAACAACAAAAACTTTTGCAATTCAATTCGGTTTTTTAAACATATCCAAACATACATCCAAAAAATCAAACATCTGAGCAAACACAAAGGTATTTGGGTCGGTGAAAGTCAAAACCTTCATCCTTTAAACATTTCTTCCCTCTCTCTCTTCAATTTTTTTAAACACAATTTATTTTTTGTTATAGAAAGGACGGGATGTAGTGTAGGTGGGAAGATCAATACTCCTGCCCCCGACGGAAAATTCCCGACCCGAGCCGTAATAAGGGCGTATCTCGGGCATATGGGGGCAGTGACCTATCTAATTTGTAAACGTGGCTTGGGCCCAATTTCTTAGGCGCCTTCCTATAATTAACACGACCCGCGATAATAAAATACATTCTATAATTGTCAACTTGACCAGGAATTCACTTATCAGTAAAGAAAAGTGTCATCAAATATAATTAATTTATAAAAGAAAAAAATTCCTGGCAATATCTTGTACAGTGATTGACGTGCGATAGCACAGTGGAAAACCCAACACTCCAATTCTTTAAACGTCATTATGTATAATGAAAAAACATGAAATTGATACAGTTTATTTTTACATAGCGTAAGATTCCATGATTATATATTATTGACCCTTTTTCTGTATAATTTTATAAACAAATTGACTTGTCCCACTTAAAAAGTGAAAGTTGACTATTACAGGCGTTCCAGACGGTAGAGAAACTTTAAGATTAAGATTTTTTTTTGCCTATTTAAGCTTTGATCGTTCCAAAAGAAAAGACATCGTTCGAGGTTCCGGAGGGAAAATAAAACGATTGATTACCGATCGAAACAGATGTCGCAAGACTTTGTCAAAACACGCGACCCAATTCCATTGGATTTTTAAGCTCGTGACAGATTTTAAAGGTTGTTTACTCCTAAACTGGGTTACACCGATACCAAAAAAAAATTAAATGGCAATTTGTTTTTAAACAATTTTGAACACAAGGGAAACTTCTTGCACCTTGGAAAGTTCTTGGTTGAAAAGAACGACCAGAGTTGAAGTTTTTGAACAGATGAATTCAGATTTTTCTTAATTTTATAGATTGCCTCGATTTGACAATTCTTACCTTTTTGGGTGTCAAGGTGTCGAAAAGAATTCCAAAATGAATCAGGCACAATTTTTCAAAGCACAGTCACAATTCACGAAACTGCTCTTGTAAAGCCTATGCACGAGAAAAACCAGAAGAGAATTTCGAAAAACTTGTATTTTTCCTTTCTTCAAAAAATCAGGTCGACAAAGGGATATATAAATCGCCTATATTCGACGGTGGAAAGGATGGATACTAACCAGTTTGGAAAGGCGACCTCGGTTTTATACTTGGGCCAGTACAGGAGTGGGGCGCAGGGAGGGAAGACGACGAGGTGGGAGAAATTCGCTCACAATTCCACTCTCGGCTTCTGTAAATATCCAACCGAGGATACAAGCGAAAATTTCCCATTACCATTGATTTTTATAAAATCCGATAGCCTCCTTTTTTTGAGGCTTTTAAAAGTGACGAAACAGACAACACCTAAACGCGTAAGGTCATAACGTTTCCAAAGAATCTTTAAAAAACCCATAATGGATAGGTATCACCTAAGAAACATTTATGAACATTGCTACATGCTAGGTTAGAATAATGTATATTGCCTTTTTTCCATATAAATTTGGAACTTTCCTTTTGAGGTACATCACGCCATTTGGTCGCTTTGGTCCATTTTAGTCTGACAAACCACAACAACTAGGATGGACCAAAAACCCCATAACCTAGCGGAAATGCTAAAGAAATTATACAAATGAAATTTTCTTTTTTAGTCTAACTGATGGTAAAACCTATTATTCGAAAGTTATCACCCTACCTGCCAATTCTCGCTGATTTTTGTTAATTCCATCACAAATATCACCCTCAAGAAAAAAATACACAGAGAACCAAAAACCAAAATACATAGCTTTTCGAGGATCATCTAGGATAAATTTTACCCTGGCGAAAAAGGTAACACCAAATAAACTCAAAAATCCCAAAAAATGAACTAAGCAATAAAATTAAAAACGACCAAAATTACCATAAGCAGTCCATTGCTTTAAAATTCTCCAGGTGAAATTGTTTATATTTTTCTTGGTTTGCACGGCTAATGTTTCTTATCCGAAAGTATCGGATTCAAGTTTGTTTTTTTATAATTTTTTTTTCTCAAGGAGCGATTAAATTATTGAGATTAGAAAAAAAATCTGAAAAGGCGTTTAATGACATTCGGAATGCGATCAATTTTCATTATCCACCTACTACAAGCACTGATTATTGAAATACATAAACATATTTTGTTTAAAAAATAAAACCTTCATAACAAAAAAATTACACAATAAACTGATCAATTGGAATTTTCAATCAAAATTCCTGGATCACCACCCCGTTAAATTTATCAATACTTTGTTATTTTATTTGTACGTTCATGCAAAGTTTATTCCGTTCTAGCCGTGCTATCGTTCCCCGTCCGATGGTTTAATTAACTTGAATAATTTAAGGATTAATTCATCAACGTAAAAGCGAATTTCCTTCGTGATTCTACATTGGTAAAAAAGATTCTATTATTCTATTTACCAGTACGAAGAATTTTCATTAATTATTTATGAAAATCCCATAATTAGGTCGGTAATGATGATAAAATGATCGATTTTTTTTAACGCAGACTTTGGTTAAAGCAGTTCATATCGTATTTTTAAAGGCTGTTTTGAGTTATTACAATGTTATGGACCAATGAAGGCTAACTTATCGACATGGTACCTTATAAGGTTCAAAGTTGCTAGGTTTTGGCAGCAAACAGCTATGGTCATAGCCAGTACTACTTTTTATCTATCCTTAAAAAGTATCTATCCTTATTCCTTTAAAAGTGGTTTGGTTTTTTTAAAAGTTGTACTATTTTTTTTATTTTTTTATTTATTTGTAGCCTATACAACTTGTACATAACAAATGTGATCACAATGTATACTGTTCACCGCTCGGTCACAGCACTAACACTGATGCCAGCGCTGCACCCGGAGGACGCATGCCATGAGAAGCCAGCCAGTGCTGGCACTCATTTTAATGGATTAAGGGGCTAGGAGGTCTCGTCTCGGGGCCATCGTCGTTTTAGGCGACATGGTGGATTCTTGGGATGGAATATGTGGAGAGGGCTCTCTCGGGAATGGATCAGTTCGTGGACAAAAGGAACGTTGAGATCTTTGTGGATAGTAAGGTTAGAGGCGTAAAACGGAGCTTTGACGTTTGTCTGAGGACTTTGGATTGGAAGGACTGGATACGCTGGATATTGGATGGTTTGGCGGAACCCCACAATTCCATACCGCATGTCCAAAGTGGTCGCAGTAAAGTCTTGTTTAAGGTCAGTTTAGTCATGGTCAACCCGGATTTTGGTCTTAGTAGTCTGCGTAATTGTCCATGTCTTCTGTTGAGTTATTGTCTTTTAAGTCTTGTGTGGGAATTCCACGTCTGCTGTCAAGGTATATTCCTAGGTATTTGATTTGAGTGGAAGTCGGTATCTCTTCATTGTTGATGTATAGTGGAGGGCAAGATTTTTCAAAGAGAACGTACATTGGATGCACTTTTCTCCGTTTAATCTTGTCCTCCACTTTTTACACCAATCTTCGATGAGCTCAAAGTGTTCTTGGATATTAGAAGTAGCTTGGGTAGGATTCAAGTTAGAGGACAAAATTGCGGTATCGTCCGCGTAGGTGGTAATGATGGTATTGGGAGAGTAGGTAGGTCAGCAGTATAGATGGTATAAAGGATAGGACCTTTGACTCCCTTGTGGGACACCGGCTTGTATTGGCCTGATTTCAGAGAACTCGTTACCGCACCTCACTCTGAAGCAGCGGTCTGTTAGGTAGGATTTCAGGATAAGGTAATAAGGAGTGGGTAGGAAGCGTTTGAGTTACCATTTTTAAGCTTCAAATTTGTTTGTGATGATTTTAAGTGATACAGATTCGACTAGAATCAGAGCATTGTTGGTTGATGGAAGAAGTCAACCGTATGTAGCCAGGGTGCTTAACATTCCAAGAACAACTGTCCAAATCTATCATGAACCTGGAGGTTACTCAAGAAGGCATGATAAGCTCGCAAGCTCGCCATCGTGCCACACCTCAGAAAGGTGATAGTTTTAATGTTTCGAATGTACTCTGTAATCAACATACCGCTGTTTAGATCAAGCAACGACTTTCTAAAGATGGACTACATGCGAAAAGGACCATAGGTTCATTAACGTTAATGTATAATGTATAAACCCTATACTAATATGACTAACTAGTTTGACAGGTCTGTGGGGTACTCTATATTCCGCCATAGACCAGACCGTTCACGCAAATAAATTCATTCATACCCAGAAATGGCATATAAGCGACGTATGATTTTAGATATTCAATGAGTTTATCTTTATGATCACTTTTCAATTAATTAATCTTTATGTAAGGCGTTGGTTGAGATAAAAAAGTCAGAGTCACGAGCGGGATTCGAACCCACGACGTTCGGCTCAATACGCCGCTGCTCTCACACTTGAGGTATCGTGACTTCGATACACTCGGACACCAATTTCCCATCTCAACCCAACCTTTCAAATTTTCCATTCGTTTTGCCATTTTTCAATTCGAAAATTCAAGTTCAATAACGTATTTCCCTACATTCTTTTCTTATTTGGCTGTGTATAATGACAATATTTGTCCACAATGAAGAAAAAATATTAATTGACTAAAAAACTTCTCTGTAGGAAGTAAATAAAAATGAAATTGGATAACTCTGAATCAGAAAATGTTTACTAGTTTAAAGCAGTTCTGCAATCAACTTTATGAACGCCATTTTCCTCGATATACACGAGGTTGTTATAATTTAATTCGCCTGCAATGCCATAGTGTACTGTTCAGTCTGTCAAGTCCCATCATCTGAATTTATAATATAAAATGAAATGTCAATAAAGAAAATTTCTATACGTTTTTCTTTATT